TCTATGCAGCATGTGCACTGATAACCTGTGGCCAAGAGGTGAGAGAGCCACATTGCCTCCAAGTTCCCATAGAAGCTGAATGTTCCAAGGGGGCCTAAGTCCCTGAACTCCCACAAGGAGGCCTTACATTACCAGCTGTGACCACTTGCTTCCCTGCTTACTATCTACCACGAGGTCTATCCCTGGTAGAGTAGCTCCAGGCTGGCTGGGGCCTGGCTAAGCCAGCAAAGTTTTTTTGCTAGCTAATAGACTGAACTCACAGCATTACTAAAAGGATCTGAATTCCCTTTTTCAAGTTTGAATGCTTGGACAGCCTCCCTCAACCTGAGGGTTCTATGAAATTTCCTTTTATCTATTTATTATCACAGTTAATAATTTATTTTTATTGTGAGTGTTATGACTGCATGTGTGTAAGTACAGTGCCCAAGGAGAACGGAAGAGGGATCCCCTGAACTGGAGTTACGGACAGTTGTTAGCCACCAGTGGGTGCTAGGATTCAAACCCGGGTCTTCTGCAAGAACAGCTGGTGTTCTTAACCACTGAGCCATCTCTCCAGCCCCTATCATAGTTAATTTTTTTTTTTGTCTTTTTGAGACAGGGTCTCCCTATAGCCCCAGCTGTCCTGGAACTCACTATGTAGACCAGGCTGGCCTTGAACTCACAGAGATCCACCTGCTTCTGCCTCCCGAGTGCATAATTTTTATATTTATATTTGTGTGATGTCCTTTCCATTCACATACAAGCTCAATCTAATTATATAAAATCTTAGACAAACCCAGTTTGAGGGACAGTTTTAATAACTCACAGTACTCTTCAAAATGTTGTTATAAATGGCAGCAAAAGACTAGAAATTTCACAGATTGGAAGAGACTGAGAAATGTGATAGCTAGATGGAATATAAAATTCTGGGGGCTGGAGTGATGGTTCAGTGGTCATCAGCCAGAGGACGGGGTTCAATTCCCAACACCCACATGACTAACAACCATCTGTAACTCTAGTTCCAGAGAATTAAATCCCATGTCCCCCTTCCATCTTCCATGTGCATCTCACAAGTAGGTGCACTTACACACATGCAAGCAGAGCATTCATACACATAATAAATATAAATAACTCTGGATTGGATTTCCTAAATCAAACAGAACATTGATGGAAAAAATAAAATCTGATTAGACTGTAATTAGTTAATATATCAATATTAGCCTCAGATTTGGTGGGAAGTATGTGCCACAGTGCATGGATAAAGGTCAGAGGATAGCTTGTGGGAGTCAGTTCTGTCTTTCCACTATGTGGGTCCTGGGGATTGAACTCAGGTCATCAGGCTTGGCAGTAAGTGCCTTTACCAGCTGATCCATCTCACCAGCCCCCTTTCTTGTAACTTTTATAATTATCTCATGGAATTGGAACATTCTTGGCCTTGTTATAGTTCTAATGTGTGTCCTGTGTCCTAATTTAATATTCAGAGATGAAGGAAATGTTGTTACATGGCAAAAGGCCCCAAAGCCCTTATTGCCTGCTCACTCAGCATGCTGACCCCAAGCTTCCATTTGAGGGAAGGCCAGGATTGTAGCTCAATAGTAAAATGCTTGTATAGCGTGTTGAAGACCTCAGGTTCAACACTTAACCACTGAGCCATCTCTCTAACCCTGGCATCACAGTTTCAAATTGCATTGTCAAGAATTCTTATAATTGGGGCTGGAGAGATGGCTCAGTGGTTAAGAGCACTGATTGCTCTTGCAGAGGACCTGGGTTCAATCCCCAATACCCACATGGTGGCTAGCAACCATCTGTAACTACAGTTCCAGGGGATCTGATGCCCTCTTCTGACCTCCATGGGCATTGCACAACATGGGTGCACCTACATACATACAGGCAATACACTCATCCACATAAAAATTTTTTTAAAAAAAGTTCTTATGATCAAATAAAGTTTCTTTTTTAAGAAATTATGGACAAAAATCCTACGAGAAACTAAAGTTTCATCATGTCACCTGGGTCAATCCCAATTTAAGGAAGTGCATTTATTATTGCTCTGGCTCTTTTAAAATATGGGCTAGGATTAGGAAGATGTGAACTGACGAGAGCCTTCCTCCTGAAATATGGATGGGTTCTACTGAAAGGAAAGCAGCAGCCAGGAGAGGAGGGGTCTGGTCCTACCTTCTATGGTGTGACAGGCAAGTCAATTGACCTCTTTGGATCCAAGTGTCTCAGCTGAAAGCCATGGGTAGAGCTGGGAATCAGTGTCTCTAAGCCAAGATGCTATGGTTGCAAAAATGCCGACTCTGCCAAAGTGAAACATGACACTGTGCCAACAGATTCCAGCAATAGCAGGACAGAGAAGACAAAACAACGATGAGATTTGTTGAGAGGACTTGGAATAAAAACAATGAAGCATACTCTACACAGCATAAAATTCCCTCTGGACTTTGTAGGACCAGTGGAATAGCAACCTGTTCCAAAACAATGAGACTCAGGTAAAGTGTAACTACCAGAACAGACGGGAAGTTAAGGAGGGATGGGAGGGAAAGGAACCCCTTGCCCAGGAGTCTGGTTTAAGTGTAGCTGAATTAAAGGCAATGACTACTTCCTTTTCTGAGAAAATCTCACAGATTGTGAACCATGTTTATAGTCACCTGACCCACATAGAATTTCTTTGGCTTTTTGCAAAATCATTATTTTGTTGTTGTTTTGGGGACAGGATCTCATGTCTCCTAGACTAGCCTCAAATTCACTATGTAACCAAGGGGTCTCCACTCCTGAGCACTGGGATTACAGACATGTGTTTTATGTAGTTATGGGAACTGAGCCTAGTTTATGCAAACTAGGCTAGCATTCTACTACCTAAGCTACATCCCCAGCCCTCCTTTGACCTTTTTGATCTGTGTTTTTATTTTTAATTAAACAGTTTTTACACTTATTTGTGTGTGTGTGTGTGTGTGTGTGTGTGTGTGCCAGAGGACAACTTTCTGAAGTCAGTTCTCTCCTTCCATCAATATGGGTCCCAGGGATTGAACTAGTCCTCAGGCTTGTAGGCAAGGGATAGACCTACTGATACTGAGCAATCTCAACAGCCCTAGTTCATAAGCCTGTAAACCTGTACAATACAGTAAACTCACTTTTAAAACAATTATTTAATTTTTTATGTGTATGCGTGTATTTGCCTGCATGTAGGTAAGTGTACCCATGTCGTGCAATGCCCACAAAGGTCAGAAGAGGCTATTGGATCCCCTGGGACTGGAGTTATGGACAGTTGTTAGCTGCCATGTGGGTGCTGGGATTTGAACCCCGGTCTTCTGCAAGAACAACCAGTGTTCTTAACTGCTGAGCCATCTCTCCAGTCCCAGTAAACTAATTTTTTCATCTCATAAAAAAATTCAGTAGATAAAAATAAGTATACCAGGTCTCAGTACAGGTTAACCTGGAGCTTATGCTACAGGTCAGGATAGCCTCAAACTCGGAGGATTGGGATTACAGGTGGGAGCCACGACCCCCCACCCCTACTTAATCTTCTAAATCCTTGGAAAAATGTAACTTTAAAGCCACACACACACACACAAAAAAGCCACCTAAGCTGGCTCTGCAGTTGTCTTCAAAGTCTATACTTCCTCAAGTGAGCCCTGTTATTTTGTTCTTAGGCGGCTCTCTTTCAATGCCCTGCTTGTCTATAGTAAAAGCTTTTCTTGATAAACTTCAAGTTTTGCTTCATACTGACTGTTCCTGAAATTCTTTTCTGTGGCCGAAGATCCTAGCATCACTTGAGTGGAGTTTCTGAAAAGAACTTAGGGGCCGACAAGATGGCTCAGGCAGTAAAAGTGATTGCAACCAAGCTGGGCAACCTGAGTTCGATCACTGGGACTCAGAAGGTAGAGATGCAAATTGACTCCTGCAAGATTCTTTGACAATTGTCAGTTCTCCGAACTACACACACACACACACACACACACACACACACACACACACTGTGGCACAGTCCCCTGTACCCCCCCAAGAAATAATAAATGTGGGGGGGGTTGTTTTTATTTGTTTTGTTTTTTAAAACCCAGGCTGGGTCTTCAAAACAAAGGCTTCTTGGGTACCCTGGCATTGTTACGGACAAAACATATATGTGACCTCATTTTATGCTAAAAACAACCTGTAAAAGGACTGTCTACATTTTTGAATTCAGGAAATGGAAATTACGTGGCCTGCCCAATCCCACAGTGAGGGAGAGAGAATTTAAACTCCCCTGCAGAGCTAATGGAGTTCCTGCATGGCTTCGGACAGACTCAGCCATTGCTAACAATAATTAGCTTCTTGGCTGATTAATCCTCAAAACAATCCTACGTTACTGTTAATCTCAGTGCGTTGCACTGTGAGAGGGGGTGGCGTTACAGCCTGGTAGGGTTCTGCTGCCAGGGACCAGAGTCTGTGTCTAGTATGGCAATGGGCCAGGGTGTGTGTACAGTGTGAGGACTGGACGAAGGTTTGTACCCCACACATAACGCTGTGGGGAATGGACCAGGGTCTGTATACAGTATGGGGTTTGGACCAGGGTCTGTGTACAGTGTAGGAACCGGACCAGGGTCTGTGTACAGTGTGGGGTTTGACCAGGGTCTGTGTACAGTGTGGGGTTTGACCAGGGTCTGTGTACAGTGTGGGGACTGGAGCAGGGTCTGTGTACAGTGTGGGGATTGGACTAGGGTCTATTCCCCACATGTATCAGGTTTCTGTACTGTGTGCCTGATGGACTGGTGGAATGGTTTCCTGGGCCAGACCTGGACAGGGCCGAGAAACCTGCATCTGTGGTTTCCTGTGTCGCCAGGCTCGGATATCCTAGACTTCTTCACTTTGTGCCTGAAGGATGCGTGTCCTGTTACTTTGTGGGTTTCAGTCTCCAGGCGTGTCGTCGTATCCACCCGGGAGAAGGAAGCCTTGCTGCAGGTGTTCCTTGCAGGCCTGGGGGCAGGGTGCTCCGAGGCCCTGGGGGCGGGGCCCGGGCTGGGGGCGGAGACTGCATCGCGGGGATTGGCTTCCCTCCACAGCGCAGCTGCTCACCAGGGCGACCCTGCGGGTCCGGATTTCTCGCTGCCAGCATGCGCCTCCAGCTGCTCCTGCTGCTGGCACTGTGCCAGGAGGGCTGCGTGGCGGCGGGCGACAGCTACAGCCTGCGGGGAAGCTGGAGGGTCCGCAGCGGGAACGGCTCTCTGGAGCTGCCAGGCACGGTCCCCGGCTGCGTGCACAGCGCCCTGCTCCAGCAGGGGCTGATCGAGGTACGCGCCTGCCCGGGTCGGGAGGACAGCCCCGGGCGCCGGCAGCCGGCCACCCCCTGGCAGCCCGGGCTTGGGACCAGCTTCCCCTTTGCATGCTGCGGTCTGTTGGGGGAAAATGACAAGGCAGTAGGAGTGCAGGCTAGATATGGACACCGACCGGCCCTAGCCAGGCCTTAGGGACCCTGGGGAGCGGAAGTTCCGACAAAGAAGCAATCTGCTACCAGTTCACTTTCTGTTGTAGTTCTCGGCTAGAGTAAGGAGGAAGGCTATTGTTTAAATTATCTAGACGTCTGCAGGAGGCAATAACCTTTAGGTAGTCATAGTTCATCAAGAGTAATGTCTTGGATTTTCATTTTCTCTTTGAAGCCTCAGAGATAAGGATTTGTTATAAACGCAAGAGACTGGGGAGTGTTAAGAGTAAAGCTGGGTTTGTCAGTGCTGATGTAAAGTCGAAACATTTGGGGTGTGTGTGTGTGTGTGTGTGTGTGTGTGTGTGTCCTGGGAATGAAACCCAGGGCCTTGAGCATGCTAAGCACACATTGTACCACGGAACTGCAGCCTAAATAACGGTTTTTTTTGTTTGTTTGTTTTGGTTTTTTTTTTTTTTTTTTTGGTCTTTTTGAGACAGGGTCTCCCTGTAGCCCCAGCTGTCCTGGAACTCACTCTGTAGACCAGGCTGGCCTTGAACTCACAGAGGATCCGCCTGCCTCTGCCTCCCAGTGCTGGGATTAAAGGCGTGCGCCACCACGCCCCACAACGTTTTTAATTTTAAAAATAGAGTTATTTTCCTCGTACAACGTGACATTTTCATGCATGTGTATCGTGAACTTTGCTCACATTCATTCATTGCTTTCTTGTCTTGCTCCAGCTGATTTCCTCCTCTTTCGAAGTTGTCCCAAGTCGGCCTTCTACTTTCCTGTCATATTCCTACAGGAGAGGAGACATGCGATGGCATATTTGTCTTTCTGAATCTGCTTTATTTTACTTAACATGATAGCTTCAATTTCCACTCCCCCCCCCCAAAAAAAAAAACTTTGACAATGTTGTTCTTATCTTCTTTTTTTTTGTTTGCTCTTTGAATTTGGGTCTCTTGTAGCTCAGGTTGGCCTTAAACTTCCTGTGTAACTGAGGTTAACTTTGAACTCCTGATCCTCCTGCTTCCACCTCCCAAGTGCTGGAAATACAAGTGTGAGCCACCATGCCCAGCCTAATTTATTCTTTATAGCTGAGTGGTACTCCACTGTATATGTATGCCATGTTATTATTATTTTTTTTTTTTGGTCCATGGGTATCTAGGCTGATTCCATTACTTGGCTACCCATGAGCAGTGCACAGTTATCTCTGTAGGCTGCTGGCTTAACATCTTCAGGTGTGTATTCCAGAGGTATAGCTGGATTATATTGTAGGTCTATTTTCAGTGGGTTTGTTGTTGTAGTTTTTGAAGGTTTTTTTTTGTTTGTTTGGTTTGGTTTTTTTTTTTTCTTTTTTTTTTTTTGGTCTTTTTGAGACAGGGTCTCCTTGTAGCCCCAGCTGTCCTGGATTCACCATGGAGACCAGGCTGGCCTCGAACTCACAGAGATCCACCTGCCTCTGCCTCCCGAGTGCTGGGATTAAAGGCGTGCACCACCATGCCTGGCCTGTAGTTGTTTTTGAGACAATCTCAGTATTTTTACTGTTGTTTCTAGATTTCTAAAAAATCTGTATCAATGTTTGCCTCTGTATATGTATGTGTACTATGTGTGTCCCTGGTGTTTGCAGAGGCCAGAAGAGCATGTCAGATCCCCTGGAACTGGAGCTACAGTTGTTAGCCTCCATATGGGTGCTAAGAACTGAACCCAAGTCCTCTATAAGGGCAGCAAGTGCTCTTTACCAACGAGCCATCTCTCCAGCCCTATTTTTAATGTTTTAAGGAACCTCCATACTTATTTGCATAGTAAGTCTACATAGTGCGTGCGTGTGTGTGTGTGTGTGTGTGTGTGTGCGTGTGTATGTTGTCAGTGTGTAATGTATGTATACACATGTTGGTCTTATTTTTTGAGACAGGGTCTCTCGCTGAATCCAGAGCTCACTGATTGGCTAGACTGGTTGACCAGCCAGTTCCGAGAATCCTCCAGTCTCCACCCCCACATTGCTGAGCTTACAAATGTGATCTGAATTCAGGTTCTCCTTGTGAGCAAGCACTTTTCTTTAGCCTACTGCCTCCTGCCTACATAATTTTCAAAGCTGACTAGGATAAAAGTAATATGCTATTCCTTTCTTGGGCATTTGTGAACACACCCAATATCACACAGCAAGCAGATGACAAAAATGGAATTCTAACCCTGGTTGGCCTTGACTCCATAGCTTGGCATCAGTGCTATGCTATACTTACCAGAGTATTTTGAAAAATCATACCTTCTTTTTCATTTTAAACTTTTAACAAATATTTTATTTATTATTTTTATTTTATGTGTATGAATGTATTGCCTGCATGTAGGTAGATGCACCAGTTTCGTGCAATGCCATGGAGGTCAGAAGAGGGGGTCAGATTTCCCTGGAACTGGAGTTACAGATTGTTAGCCTCCATATGGGTGCTGGGACTCGAACCTGGGTCATCTGCAAGAGCAGTCAGTGCTCTCAACCACTAAACCATCTCTCCAGCCCCCCAATTTCTTTTTTTAATTAAAAAGTTTAAAATGGAGCTGGAGAGCTGGCTCAGCAGTTGTGAGCAGTTGTGAGCCTCTTGCCAGAGGATCCAGGTTCAATTCCCAGCACCCACATGGTGGCTAACAACCATCCTCCAGTTCATGCAGGAATATACACATAAAATAAAAAAAAATTTAAAATTTAAAAATTGAATCAATGTTTCATTAATTGCCTAAGCTGGTCTTGAACTTACTTTGTAACCCAGGCTGACTTTGATTTTGTGGTCCTCTTGCCTCAACCTCCAAAGCAGCTGGGATTATAGGCCTATGCTACCATGTCTAACTCTAGCTCAGAAATCTGTGTGTGTGTATGTGTGTGTGTGTGTGTGTGTGTGTGTGTCTGTGTCTATGTCTGTGTGTATGTGTTGGTGCATGTATGCACATGCATGAGTGTGCTACCACTGGTCATTCTCGGTTTGCTTCAGTGACAAGGTAGTCAACAAGGGTTATAGAAAATTTCTGATGTGGAGCCCAGGTCTTTTTTTGTATGGTATGTGTCAGAAAGACGGTGAATATTATAAATTACAGTGAGTGCTGTCCAGTATATTTTTAGATAAATCATTCTCAAACTTATGTAGTATATGTTTAGTTAACAAATTACATGGGGAGAATGAAAGGGGACATGTAACATGAAAGTGGGATGGAGGCCACTGGGGGTAGAAAAGCATGGTGGGGGGTCAGGGGAAGGATGTGGGGAGAATGGGAGGGGAGAGAAATGATTAGAACAAATTTTGTTAGAAAAATGTCATAAGGAAACCTAGTTTGTTGTATGGTAATAAAAAGCAAAACTATAAAATAAAAACAAAAGTACATATGACAAAGGTCACAACTGACTTGGTATCTTCACTTTTACCTACTTTGAGAAACTTGTGTTTATTCTTCAGAGTCTCATTTTGCTAATTGAGTCAAGCCAACAGGAAATCATGATATTAGCAAATTAGATTATCGCTGAATGTTATAGGACTACATATCAAGAACAAGATTTCATTACTTCTCACTGAGGAAGTTTGCATTTATTATGAAATAACGAACAGTTCCTTGTGGGAGTGACTGACAGTCTCTGAAACCTCTTCACAGATTATTAGAAAAGCTAAGTTTGAGTAAAGTGGATGTGAATTCTTAGTGGTGCTGGGATAAGAGACAGAGCTGGTTAGTAGATTAGAGAAGAAGGCTGTTGAAACTTATGAACACTGGTGTCATCACTGCCACCCATCCACTTGTCATAACATTCCCTTTTTGGTGCTGACCTCCAGATACAGTCTGTTGTTTGGCACAGGCACTGTGTTTATTATATATGAACCCGAAGCCTGTCTTGGCTAAATCATTCTGTTATTTATCCATTCACCTAATTAATTAACCTGTAAGTATTTGCTTAGTATCTCTGATGTGGTAGGGATTGATCTAAGTGCTTGAAATCAAATGTGAAGAAACCAAGTCTTGTTCCAGTGAACATTCTAGTGGGAGACATATTCAATTATGAGGTTAATAAATAATGTGGTTCAATGAAGTAAAATCAAGCAGGTTAAAGGAAGAGCTGGGAAGATTGCTGCTTTTTTTTTTTTTTAAGTAGCTAAAGATGGTCATTTTGATCTGGATACTTCTCAGCAGATAACTCTTTCACTTTTAAGGAGATATGCATTCCTAGCAAAGAGGAGAAAGGCAGGGATGGGGGAAGAGCTGTAGGAGAAGACCTAACATGGCGGCCTGCCTCACAGGCTTCATTAATAGCAAGCAGGCCACTGTGGCCAGAATGTTGTGAACCACTGGGGACAAAGGCAAGTTCAAAGAGCAGATCACCAGGGTGTTGAAGCACAGGAATACTTTGGATTTTATTCTACACACTATGGGAAGCTAGTGAGTGTATTGAACTTGGAATGCATGGTTGGCTTTTCTTATTAAAGGTCAATGTGCTGACTACAGAAGGGAAAGATGAGATCAGCTAGGGGATTCTTGCAGTCTTGGGGCCTGAGAATTCTATCTTGGAGCAGGGAATTGAAGCGAGTGGTTGTGGTTTTGGTTTTTTCCCTTGTTTCTTTTCTTTCTTTTTTTAAAATATCCTATTTATTTTTATTTTATGTGTATGAGCGTGTTGCCTACACGTATGTGAGTGCCCCCGTGTTGTACAATGCCGCGGAGGTCAGAAGAGGGCTTCGGATTCCCCTAGAACTGGAATTAAGGACGGTTCATTGCTGCCATGTGGGTGTTGGGAATTGAACCTGGGTGCTCTGCAAGAGCAGTCAGTACTCTCAACCTCTGAGCCATCTCTCCAGCCCCTCTTTTCTTTTCTTTTCTCTTTTCTTTTCTTTTCTTTTAGCT